CGACTCCCAAGTGTTCTCGGTTATTGTTGCCATGCCGTTGAAGACTGTCTCCCACTCGTCCGCCAGGGTGTACGACAGCCCCACAAACGTCGTATTTTCATTGTCCCCCAGTCCCGCACCCAGCAGAGAAGCGCTCCCGTTCGGAACCTCATCGATCGTCACCGTCGCCACAAGCGTGAATCGTAATTCACAAAGCTGTGCGTATAGTGATGCTTCCACATGTTCACCGGCCACATGGCGTATGATTCGGACCCCGTGAACTTAAAGCCATTTTCGACCTTCTTTGCATTCGTCACAGTTGCACCCACGCAACGGTACGCGTCGTTCCAAGTTCCATCACCCGATGCATCCGACAAGAATCCAACCAGGCCGGCCGTGGGCACAGACGAGTTCGAGAGGAAGGAGTCCAGTTTTGCCCAAGTCTTCAAGACAGACTTAATCTTCTTCAGCGTACCCGTTAGGGAAGAAAGAGACAGGACTTTGGTCGTCATACTGACCCTCTCTTGTAAAAGGTGCAACGCATTGTTAGAGTGCAGCAGGGTGTTGCCAGACGTCCACTTATCTGCAGTGTCCATGGAAATGGGCCCGAGGTGAAACGTGCGATTGTTGTCAGTGACCCAAAGGTAGAGCGCGGTGGCTTGCAACGTGCCCCCAGGGGGAATCCCTTTCTGAGTGTACAGCATAACCTTCTTTCCAGCAATGGTCGCAGTGGTGAGGGACCCCACTCTCTCAGCTGTTCGCAAAGAGTCCGGTAACAACATGGGCTGCACGCGTGTGAGTGTCCTGACAGCCTCCGTCCACGTTGCCCCCATGTCCCTCGACTCGAACACCTTGGAGAGAGAATTGCATTTGACAACCATGAGAAGCTGCCCCTGCTCCCACTCAACGATGAGGGGGTCTCTCAACTGTGCAGAGACCATCCCCTGTGGAAGCACCCAATTTTTGCCGTCGTCCTTCGAATAAATGATCGTGGAGACAACGTCTTTTTCCCCTGTCTTTCTCGCCGTCACAGGAAACACAAGCGTGCCATTCTCCATCACAACGCCTGAGCCACCACCACTAACAAATTCTTCCAGGCCTCGCTGTTTAGCAGATGGTTCGATCTGTGGCAAAAGCGAGGTGGGTTCGCCCCATTGGATGACTTTATCTTGCGTGACCTCACCCACGAGAAAATCAAGATCCTGTGGGGATGCAACCCAGTTCTGCGATGAATTATTATACTTCAGATAATAGTCTTCCACAAGTAGAAAGACCTTGTTGCCCTTTGCAATTGTTGTGGGTCGGCGCGCGCGTCTCACAGGAGAGGCACGTCCCTTTGGAATGGTCGTGTTAAAGATGCTGTGCGCCTTCCATTTATCTGCATTAACTTTAGCAGCAAAAGACGACCAGCTCTCCGCAGGGTCGATGTACCCCGCCACAACATCAGCATAATAGGCCAAAAACTGTTCTTCACCGGAGTATGGAAGGTTGGTGTGGCTCTTGGCAAGCGCAACCAACACTCCACCAGCACTGACGAGAGAAGGTGAGTTAAAGGAATTCCCCAGTTGATTTTCACCTTGTGTTTCCACAATCGTTCGATGCGGCACAAAAAGATCGACAGGCTCTGGCATTTGTATTTCCTTGGGTTTATTCCTCTCGGCGTGCACAGCAGTACTGTCAAAGCATATCAACAGCACAAAAAGCAGCAGCAGCATCAAATAAGAAAACAGGTGCCGGTACATCTTAAGCATGTGTCGCTGCTCAATCAATCTCTCTCCCTTCCCTCCTTGTGGTGGATCCGCTCAGACCGCGATGGTTGTGTGGGCGCTTGAACTTGACGGCATCAACACTCGAGAGTATATATATGCGTGTGTGGTCGGTGTGTGTGTGTGTTGCTGGTAGTGACTGCGGAGCCTTTCAATGCGTACAATAACAAGTAGTCTTCGTTATTGTTCGTTCCGTGTGTGAGAAAGAAAAAAACAACCACCCCAAAAAAAAATGAACCGCCCGCACCAACAGTTGGGCACCCCGCAAAGAAATGCGACATTCCAAAACTGAGGCAGCACCGACAAACGCACGGGCCACACGATCACACACTCGCCGCCGCCCACAAGAAATACCCACACGCACCCGCACGGAGAGTCCGCAAGTGTGGGACGCCTCCCACAGAAATTAAACAACAAAACAAATTCATAAGCACCTCGCTTACCGTCTCCCCCGCCCAGCCCCTTCAAACCCCGCCAGCGGCAACACGCAGT